AGAAGATTAGTCGGTTAGGACATGACCGCAGATATCCTCCACCAGCGGTAGATGGATGAGTGATGTAGCGAAAGGCTCCACTGAACATTCTAAATGTGCACACTTTTTCTTGTCCAGAAAAAACAGAATAAGAATGGGCACTCAGAAAACTCAGAGGCTAGGAGGCTATTTATTGGCACAATGGCCCTAATGCCGATGCCGACCTTGCGGATTTGTTTGTTGCTGCAAGAACACAATCAGACCCCAGAGCTTTTGAAAATTTAAGTGTGGAAATGATAAAATCAAATACCAATACCATTACGATAAAGGCCACTAGCCAACTTAGCCGTATCTTGGTTCCTTGTGTGACACTGCAGTGCTTCGCACTGATAAACTTTTTCTGTCGATATACCAATACAGTAAAATGTTTTTTTTTTGTGTAGCTACGGTTAACAGACATATTCTATCATGTGGCGAACCATCATACATTCCAATTACAAGATTTCTGAGCCAGATTATGCTTCTTATGCAAACGCAGTTGGGAAAAGGTGACTAGCAACGTCACAGTTCAATGTTTACATTTCTAATTAAGCCAATCAATGGCCGCCGCCGTAACATCCTGGTTAGCAGTTTGGGTACAGTAAAACTTTCACAGTGATCATTTGGAAAAACGTGCCGATGGCGCTATTCTGATGGCTTAATTCACGCTGCAGGTTAGATTTCAACTTATAGAGTAATATGTACGTTACAGAGAGTGCACCTCTGTTCTGTACAGTGTCGATTAGTTGCAATATAAACAATGTACTTGAAAATCAGTGTAACATTGCTGTCCCGTCCGGCTTTTCCCGTAGTATATAATGTCTAAATGACAGAGGTTTGTATGGGTAAAATCTGATAAGAAAAACTCTTCGATGTTTGACATTTCTAAATGAAAATATTGTAAACTTCGAGTTATAAAATTATCTCTTATGAAATATTAAAGACGCGTGGCACAGTGGCAAGGAGGGTCGGCTCGAACTCCGGAGGGGCCAAATTTGAATCCGCTCAAACGACACTTCTTGTCTTAGCTGTTAACAACACTAACATATATAAGAACGATTCTTACGTTAAGCAGAATGTAAATAAATCTTTATGCTTACCTATGCGGATATCCGGTGGGTAAGAAGCCTTGGAGAATCTTTCGAAAGTAATCTCGAACTGTAACCTTGGCTGTTTTAATGCTACTGACCTTTCCGGCGGGATCAACATCGTATATGTTTCTTAATTCTCCTGAATAGTATTCAGAAACAATCATCTTTTTGCGATCTGGATAAGCTTCCGCAACCGCTTACGGCCTGTTTAGTAAGTCCGCGCTGTAGCTTGTGGTGCGCTCTGAGCTTATCTGATATACTGTAGTGGATTTTCATGAACGTTAACAATTGAATTGGAACGCGGGGTGCGTTTCGTATATTGTGACTGTGCAATGTGATGCTGTACTTGTTACTTGTTATGTCAAGTACGTATAGGTAATGAATTCTGAAGAACCAATGGAGCAGTCCAGTACTGCCAAAGCAGTGCACAGTTTTACAAAACAGAAGTCATTTAATGACTCCCGTCCTGGCATTAGCTCGGTTGCCACCGCCGGACAGGTCACGGTCGTGGTCAATAGTCGACAAAAGGGCAACCCAGTGTTGCGTTATGTGCGCAACGTCGCTTGGGAGTACGGCGAAACGCCGGCTGACTACGTGATGGGTAAGTCGTGTTGCGGCCTGTTCCTCAGTTTGAAGTTTCACAAGCTCCACCCGAGTTACATTCACGAACGAATGAAGGAAGTCGGCCGAAAATACGCTGTGCAGATGCTTTTGGTGCAGGTAGATCTCAAGGAGCCGCAGCACATTCTGAGGGAGTTGAATTCTGTATGCTTTTTGGCAAGTTGGACCTTAATTTTGGCGTGGTCACCAGAGGAGGTTGCCGAGTACATCGAAGCATACAAAATCTACGAAACCAAGTCTTCCGATTTTTTGGTGAAAAAGGTCGAATATGCCGACGGCAGAGCTCGTCTCGTTGACCTCCTTACTTCCATTAAGGTATAGTTGCTACTGCTTTATTTTGTTATGCTCATATATATGTATATATATGCGGGATGCATTCGTTGCTCACGTATACTAGCGGTTGAGGGAGTTTTTTTTCGTGATTTGAAGCTGACTTATTACCACTGTGCAAGTGCTTGATATAATCACCATTATGAGGTTGTGTATGAAATGAAATCTTATGAGTGGAAAGTCTACGAAGTCAGTGATTAAAAGTAAAAGATCTTTTTAGGGAAGCCGACGTTTTGGGCAATAGCCACATGATTAATCATTCACGAGATAGGTTATATGTAACCTTGATTGTGGTAAACATGGTTGTTCTACTAAAGTGGGCTTTAGAACGGTCTTTAAACTTTAAATTTGGTTTTTATTTGACCGTTCAATAGGAAGACTTCTAACCCATCCGCACGACGGCCTACTACTGAAACTTCTTACAACTTCCGTGGACCGCACGATCCTCCGATGATTTGTTAGCTATCTGTCCCTGTATCATCAGTGTATGAAGTGTGGTCGCCGGAAAGTCGGAGATCATTCCCATTAATCTGGTTGTAGTCGAAGGTTCGAGCGGTTCGGTGACTCCTGTTATTCAGTATATTTGTAAATGACATCGCTGTTGATGCTCATCTGATGTATATCAAGTATGCTGACAGCGGTCTTGGTTGGGTCCTTGCGGTAGACCAAAGACCGGAACATTTGCGAGAACAGCATCCATACTGCCAGCAGTTTCTTCACCTTAAATGGTCTCATTCTAAACCTGAAGAAGACGAGGGAACTGATCTCTGATGCGAGGCACCACAAAGAGGGCACTCCTTCAGCACTACACTCCTTTAGAGTCTGGACTTTAAAGAGTCTAACTCTGGTCTTTGGCATTGAGCTGGTGTTTCAGGTACAGCACATCAGTTACCTAGGCATGATTCTTGATTCTGATCTTGCCTGGAGTGAGCTCCTCAAGGCAGTCGTAGGGCGTTTCTTCTAGGCCTGCTTTTGCGCTTAAAGACTGAAAAGACTTAAGACGCAGTGAGATGCAGCAAAATTTTCCTCC